ATCGGGCGCATAAATTACCCGAGCGCGAAACCCGAGCCCTCGGATCGCGCTAATTACTCGGCGGCTCTTTTGCCGGCGATCTTTAAACAATTAATCTCGGGGCGGTAACGAGGCGGCGAGCTCTCCTTCTTGCGCGGCCAAGATGGAGTCGTGACTCTTCGCGATGCTCAAGGAACCCAGTACCCGAGAATTACTCCGAAATGGGGATAAACGATATCTAAAGAGAGAGAAAAAAAAATCATTGAATGAAAGAAATATTTTGTTAATTCCAAGGACAATTTTTTCACTCGAATAAATTGTCACGATTCCGAATAAATGTTGCATCCAAATTATTACAGGCTATTCGAGTCACATAGTTATTCTTTAATTTAACAGTTTGATTTTTCCACCAAAAATTTTTTGTTTCAAGACCCAATAACCACGCGTTAAAATTTCAAATTGTTACCTTGAAAGAGCGAAGCAGGTCTTATTTTCATTAAGCAGGCTCAAAGAAGGGCTAAAATTTCGACTCGGGGAAGCGTATAAAAAATTGTCGACGATGCACTTCGCCTCGGCGAAACGTTTCCCTGGCACGAAACGAAAGCGAAACCGGCTGGCCATTTATTATACGGATCTCGGGGGTAATATCGAGGGGGTTATCTCCCGGCGAATCCTCGGAGGCGTGTTTCGCGCGTTAAGTTCTCACTATGGCGCTCGAAACGATGCATCTAGTCCCGGGCTAGTGACAAATCGTCCTGCGGGGACTTCCTAGATGGTATCTCTCCGCTCGCTCCGAGGAGGGTGCCGGGAGGTCAGGGTGCTGACTGAAGTGGCATCGGATAAAACTAAAGGGACGATTTACTTTGACTCGGCCCGGCCGAACAAGCATCTCCGCGGTCCTCGGGAAATTTGTCTCTCGCGGCCTCGCGAACCAGGGAATTAAGGACGAGCCGGTCCTCCATTAATCAGGCGTATCTTCTTAATGGAGGACCCTGCCCGACCCCAGGTGAGCGCAGGTAACCGGCACCTGCTGGCACCTGGAAGAAGATCGCGAAAGATCCTGACCGAAACTCAGGAAAGGGTAGGAACTCGCGGGAAAATATTTCTAGTAGAAAATTTTCCGAACGACATTTCCGATCCTGGGACGGGATCCTTTCGACGCGTCCGTGGATTCCGATAATGGCGCGACGTCTTACTCAGGCGAGGATTTACTTTGTTTTTTCCCTCCTTGGAGGTATAACTTACTATGAGACAGCTATTTCACATGGTAGCCTCGACACACATCGAGTACCTTGTCGCGGTTTAACAGTTTAAGAGTCCTGCTCGTACCGAGTACGGCGTATTCCCGATAGTTAAGGATCGACTTTTAAACCTCCCGTCGACTCGAGACCTCCCTGGGAAATCGCCGAGGAAAGTCGACGTCGCGTGATTCGGTCGCATTCGGGGAGCTTTCGGCTCGCATTCAGACCGGAGTCACGCAATTGACAAAATGAAGAAGCCACTCTCCCTCGGGATGAGTAATCGCGTTTCACACGCACCTTACTTATCGCGACAATGATTTTTGCGCCGATCGCTTGTTGCCTTTTTTTTCTTCTTTTCCTCCGATTTTTTTTTCACCGTCATTTCCATAACCGGGATCGCCGCTCAAGAGGCGAGGATTATCGGCGAGTTATCGAATAGAAAAACAGATCGGACGTCGTTGTGTCAATGGATGTTTCAAGTCGGGTGCTGCCGTTAATCCGCTAATCCCGTCGAGGAGTCGACGATTAAGATCGAATCGGATCCGTTTTCGAGCTAAACGTCGAATCCCGGTCGGATAGGCTCGGCCGGTAAACGAAGTGCTAATGGCTCCCTTATCGATTTACCCTGGGGATTCAATTATTGACCCCGTAATTGACATGGAAACCGGATCGCTATCGATATCCCGGAGAAGTCTCGGCGGCGCGGAATCGAAGGAAAGCGTCGCGTCGGTGTCCTTTCAGCGTATGCAAATACGCGCCTCCGCCACGTAATACGTGCACGCGTACTCGGGTAATTCATTTGCTTTAATCGCGAACCAGTGCTCGACGCATTAATATTCCGACATAAATAACAAGTATCCGCCTCGATGTTACCGCTCTATCCTCTCGGTTCTAAGGACACGTAAGAAGAAAATTAATGATTTCCAATAGTCACCGCAGCGGCTCGGGAAACAGACGCTCGAACTCCATTGGCCATTTTTTTCCCTCATTTTTCTTCTTATCACTTTTTAAATAAGACATACCGATATCGAAGGCTCGATTCCACATCCCGGGCAGGTTAAATAAACAAGATGCGAAGATGGGATTTCCTAGTTCGAAGCTGGGAGCAAGTGATCGATATCGATGGCTGGCCGACACGTTTCGTAATCCTCCGATAGAAAGTTATGACGGCCGATAGTAATTACACACTCGGTGCGCTCAATATCTGGCCTAGCTATTAAGAGTGCGTGAGGCATCATTTATTAGCGTTATGTAAATTAATACGCTCCTCCACGTGCTCGGTATGATTGAGATGGCGAAGACTCGCATCCGGAAAGCGAGAGATCCGATCCTGGATACGCCGCGAGTTGCATCTCTGCATTGCCCTGCAGTTTTGCAACTTTTGATGCCCCGTAATCGCTTTATCACGTTTATCAATTACTGCGGTGCGCCGACGGGGGATCCGACCGACGTGGATTAAAAGTCACTCGATCGATTTTTGCAATTTATCGCGCCCCGTGAAATTTCAATTAGCTCTTGCTAATGGCCGCGATTAATCTGGGAAAGTAATGATTTTAGGCCGTTTCGACGTTGATTGCTGAAATCGGGGCTCGGTTCGCACGTTCGGTTTGCACCTCGGTGGCTCATGTAGGTGCCCGTTATGGGACTCTGTTGCTTCCTCGGGTGCACCATAATTTATGGCTATCGAGCAACCCGTCTTGGCCTATTTAGTCCGAGGAGAAATTTATTGCCTTTTCGCGTCGACCCTTTCCTCCACCGATCGGTCCGAACTTTTCGAAAGTGCCGGCTTCCCGAGATAATTGATTTATCATCGAGCTCCTCTCCGTCCCTAATGATGCTGCTTCGAAAAGTCCCCACCTGTAATTTTCCCGATTTTTAAATCGAGCCTATATAGCGTTATTTAATGAAACGGGGAAAGGTGAATTTTAAACCTTTTGTAGATACTTTCCATCCCGAGATCGCAAACGCGGCCGAATTAACCCCGCTCGGCCTCGATTAAAGAGATGAACTTTCCCGGCGATGTGCAGCATCCAATAACGTAACCACCCTCGGGATCGTTAGGTTCCTCAGGGTAGTTCTTCCCTCGCCGACCTCGCCTGATCGATAACGAAGAGTTTTAAGTTGACCATGGCTTTGCTGCTCGCGTAATAACGCGCTTTGACCAACCCTCCGATATTAAGCATTCCTGGGCAACGATGCAATAACGCGAGCCATCGATGCAAAGGAACGAAAATTTCGATAAGAGCGTCGTCGTACGTTGAATTTAAAACATGCCGAAGATATTACCCGGAGTTATGCGCCCCAACGGACGGGAGTATCCATTGGCCAGTCTGGAGATGTTCGATGCACCCTGATCATTTTTAAATTTAACCCCTTATACTGATCATTTTTAAATTTAACCCCTTATACTGATCATTTTTAAATTTAACCCCTTATACTGGAATTACGTGTTACGTCCCGCGTTCTTTACTTCTAAAGTGAGAATTACGTGCTATGCCCACAGACTGTTTATAGTACCTGAAATACGAGTTTGAGATGGGCATCCGCCAATTAATATCCAGAGCAAGAGGTTAAGTAAACCCTTTTCCCATCGGGGAAAAATTCCACCATCGACGCACCGACTAGGGAGAAAAAGCCGGTTATAAATATTAGATTAATTAATAGATTTTTGCGGAGCCCCGGGTAATGAAACCCGCCGACTCGGGCGTTTTATCAAGAGGTAATTAACACTGATTAAGACGGCATCGAGCATAATGATGCGGCGTATCTAGTCGCGTCCAAATATGGATATGCGTGAGCTCTCTCGCTCTCTAGGAGATCCTGGATCCTCGTTCTTGGTCCCTCTCGATCCAGGGAGATCCTAAAAGGCCAAGACGTGATTTCGACGCGTCACTTCCGCTAGAAAGATCATATCCCTCGCGAGATGTGGCGCTTTTCGATGGCGTATGTGCGTATGTCGGGGTCATCGAAAAGTGGGTCGCAGGAGACGATCGGTTCGGGTTTTTGTCGGCTCCACGTGTGTCCGATCTGGCCTAACCGATTCGCGCGATCACCGCCTCCGATCTCCCGGGTCCCGATTTGGGGCCGGGGAATTAATCGCGGACTTAATTAGACGGGAGAAAAAGATAATGGAAGCCGGCTCCGATAGATTTTTCAGAGGCGGGGTTGCTTTTCAACGGACTCGAAAAGTAGGGCTGCGAGTAAGGACGGCTTTTTGCCGAGCGATCGCGGCGCCATAAGCGTCCGTTCTGCTCGCTGGAAAGCCGTCTAACTCGATTCGCGTGGTCGGTCGATCTTTCATTTCGCGGGGGATTTTAAAACCCGCCCAGAGGAGCGGCAGGATGCGTGGCTTTGACGCCTCTCCCTGTAAATCCCGCCGCCATTGACGGAATCGCGTTAAATTGGCACCGAGATGCCAAGACGCGTCCCCCAAGTACCTTCCGAGAATCTAGGCTCATCGACTGCGATTCGGAGCGACGACTAACGACCCGTCATTAGCCCGTAACACGGGGAGGGACATTAATTGTTGCACCTCTCGGTTTTACCCGCTTTTACCCGCTATTATCCGCGACGGAAACGGGAGATTTGCCTCGAATTACGAACCGTTCGGCAACGCGCTACTCCACCGCTGACGTGATTACAGGGGGCTGGTACGGCCGATTACATTGATCAGTTAACACGAAACGTCGTCAAACTCTGCCAAGTGCAGTCACTTGGTACACCTTAAGGTGACACGAAAGGGTCATTCTATCTATAATCGCCTCTCGTTTCTCCTTGCAGACATGAAGCCATCGGAAAGGGGAGAGAAGACCATGCTGTCGGGAAACGCGCAGCCAACGGACTTGTTCTGTTCGGTTCCCGGGAGGTTATCTCTGTTATCGAGCACCAGCAAGTACAAAGTTACGGTGGCCGAGGTCCAACGACGGTTGTCGCCGCCGGAATGTCTAAACGCCAGCCTCCTTGGTGGAGTTTTGAGAAGGTGAGTCGCGATTAACGATCCCGAGGGCGAGCAGCGTTCTCCAAAATGGCGGCCGAAGAAGGACGCGCGCGACCAGGGGGACCGGAATCGCGTTAACGAGTTTTATCGCCGATTGTAGGTACGTGCTCGCAATTAAACGCGGGCAAATTCTTCGGGGTAATCGCATAATTGCAGGAAACTAACCGAACATGGGGAGCAGTCGGCAAAATGGCGGCGCAGATTATACCGGCATTCCGCCGAGCGAAGAACGCGGCGTCGCGATACGGATAAATAAATCAAAGCCATAGAAATGGCTGGATTAATCTTCAAAACCAAGTTAAGGCCGAAATAAATTGGACGAAGTAGTTCTTACTTGAGGCTAATGAGTCTAAAGCGCGAATGTCGAACATCTCGATGATGTTCTTCCAGGATTAATTTATGCCGAGCCAGGCGTGGGTGTCGCGCATAATTCGGACGTATTTTTGCAACTTTTGTTAATGGTTCGAACCCGAATCTTTCATTCGGAGTCTCGATCACGTAACGTTACTATGGAATACGTTTTCGCGTGCCGTAACCATTTATTTTGGTACGAGGTGGTCAACCTTGAGACGAGTCGTTCGGAGGTACTTCCAATATCGGCGGATGATTAATTATGCATCGAAAGCTACACGATTAGCCTACAACTCGGAGGATACCGAGCGAGAAATTTGTTTTCGAGGTAACGACGCAACCAGGACCGGATCCGATCTTTTCCGAAGGAACCAATAATTCAGGAATTATTCTAATCGATCGGCCGGCAAGCATCGGGATTTGGGTACATTAGCCATTTTGTAATTTGCGCGCGATAACGTCGGGAGGAATTACCATTAATTAACTGGAATTTTATTCCCCTTGCGCCGGGTCAGAGTGTAAGACCGGGGATAAAGATGTCTTGTAGGACATTACGTTATCTGAAAGGACGATGAGCGGTCATCGAGTCCTCCTACCCTGAGAAAAAAAATATCATTCAACCAAAGAAATATTTTGTTAACTCGAAGGATAATTTTATTTGCCTCTGATTAACTCGAATTAACTGCACGCAACGTTTATTCGGAATTATGACGATTTGTTTTAGTGAATTTATTCTTGGAGCTAACGAAATGTCGGGGACTATTCAAAGAAATATTTCGTTGGTTCAATGAATTTTTTTTTCTCGGTGTAGGAGACCATTTTGAGACGAAGAGAGCGCGATGCGCCCCGAAGAGGTTAGCCTTCGTCTCGTCCTAGAAATTCGACCAATGGATGCCCCTTCGCGTTTCTCTTATTATTTTCTCGAGTGTACTCGCCCGTAAGGATTTTTCTAAAAATAAGTGACATTTCTCCGTCCAAAGCGAATGTACGCGTGCAATAAGTGGAGACGCACTCGTCCTAATTGGCGCCTCGCAGAGGCGTTTTGCGAGCTCTCAAAAACCGCTTAGCGTAGGAGACTTAGCCTCGCGTAGGCGAAAAGTGGAATGCGCCAAGAAAGAGACGCTCAATGGGATGACAAACGACCGAAAGAGGCTCGAAATATTATAATTGGGAGAAAGGTCCCGTAGGTTCTGGGATCAGTCTCCTCATTTTTTTTTTTCCGAGAGTCGATTGCGCGCGCACTCGGTGCGATGACTTTTAACGTCATCGAGGACCGAACGCGTGTTAATCCTTTCACTCGTCGGACACGGATGAATCGAAAGTACGCAGACATACAGCCCTCCCTCACTTTACGTGGCACATTTTTTTTTTTCCCGCGAGTCCCTATTTTACGTGGTAAATTATAACACAATTTACGCGGTTTATTTATACGGCAGAATTTAATTACGGGATTTTCATTCGCGAACGAATCCACGTGGAATCGATAGTCCTGGGACCTTTCTCACGGCTTCGAGGAATCGGCTGCATCCCGCAGGAAAAAAAAGTCCCCCTCGACTTACGACAATTTCCAAACGTATTTGGAACCGCCCGACAACGTTTCCGATAAACATCGATAATAACTCTGCACTTTGTTCGAAGCTGACGCAGGGGTGGGCGCGAAATTCGAAATTTGCATGCGGATTGTTAATAAGTCGAGCCCACGTAGCACCTCCCTGTCCGCCGACGCGAACACCTGCCTGATTTATCGCTTTCTTGGAAATGCTCCTCTTTATCTGATTCGCCGGTTTAACCCGGCCAGAAAACTATCTATTACGCAATGCTTTATCATTGCGCCCGAAGATAAATCACCGGCGAATATTGCCGGAGACCCGGCGCAAAACCGCATCCACTCTCCGGGCTGCGGCCGTAACTAATGTAAGTCCTGCCTCGCAACCATGAAACGACCGCCGATCGGAGGGGCGATCTGCCCCCGACTGGACAAGACCGAGGAATATCGTTAAGGTGAAGTGAAACCCCCTCAAATCGAATAAGACACTTTTTAAAAAGGTATTGGACCGAACGATTTCGCATAACTAGCGAGCACCTGAGAATTATCCCGACACATTAAAAGTTTGGATCTTCGAATAAAAATCTTTCACTTAGCCTAGACCAGAGCCAAATTTCTCGAGGTGTTCACCTGAATCATTGCCGCGTCTCAAAATTGTCTCTTTTCGAGAAAAGGAAGATTGATCTTCGGCGCGGTCCAAACTTCGGGATTTTGCAAAAGGGGGCAAAAAACCAGGGGGGAAGGCGACGGTATCGACTAACGACCCCGGAACAGAGGCAAACGAGTCGAGCAATCAAGAGCGAGATCCTGGGGCCGGCGATTTCCAGGACGCTAGACGCCGGCGTCGTCCCGACGTCCCATCGACGTCCCCTCAAGGTCTCGCGGTTGCGAATCGCGCGATCTCTCGATGCAGAAGAGGAATCGTTTGCAAGACAAGACGCCGTAACGAGTGGAGGACGCTCCTCGTCACGTCCGAGGGACGTCGCCTCATCCCTTTAAATTACGTCGGTCCTCGTCGGGACGACGTCGATCGCGTTGTCGCGACTTGGCCTTGTTCTACTTAACGATCGAATTTGTCCAAGGAGCGACCAACCCCTTGCCGACCATCGATCCATTAAGGTGACATGAAAGGGTCATTCTACGACATAACACGTAAAAATATTTATCATAAAATTTCATATTCCAAAAAAAAAAATGTATTCTTGGTTCTAGTCTGGGGGAAATAAAAAAGAAATTAAATTTTCTAAGCACCATGTTCTTCCTTAGAGCCTCCGTAATCACATTCTGAAGTTTACAAGGACTCGGTGTACTCACTTTTGAGAAGTTTTATAATTATTTTCACGGTTTATGTATACAGGATGACCCTTTCATATTGCTTTAAAAATTAGAACGGTCTCGGGAGAACTCCCTGTCAAGATCGTCGCTATCGGTTTAATGGTAGCTCGAGGTTAATTCATTTTCCAGGCAGCCAACATCCTCGGCATCGGTTAAATGGACTTCCGTTTCCGCGGTGGCTTGTAGCTCTCGATTTTTCCGAATTACCGGCGTATCAAGAAATGAGGCATTTATTCCCCGTGGCAATTAAGCGTACCTTGGTCCATCATCAATAATTCGAAACCGGTGTAGGGAACCGAACCTTAGGCTGCAAATGTGCCGGCAGTCTCGCGATCGTGATCCTTTTTCTCCTAGTTATGAGCTACGCGACCGGAAGGGAGGGTAACCGCCCTTCGATCGCGTCCCTCGATATACGCAAAGTTTATTAACATTTTATGCACACGAGTACCGTCCAGGATTTTCCCCGGGAAATCGCGGATGGGATCCTCGGTCTCGGATTCGCGTCATCGGATATCGGACGACTCCATCGAGAGGGGCCAATAATTTATGACGTTTCGTGCCCGTGAGTTTGATCGGCTCCTATGAGCATCTCGGTGGATGGGAAAAAGGCGTCGTTGCATCTTGTAAAACGAGGAGGATACCCGGAGGTGTACGCGGCTCCGGACCCGCGAACGTACTAATTATTGCTTGTCGGACAGGAGGAAATCGAAGCGAACCGATGTACGGCAATAAACTATCCCGGGTATAGCCCACTAACATAAGTAGGAGTCACCGGTAGACATTATTACATAGAACACCGTTATACGGCCATGATGAATGGCCGAAGTGTGGAGAAAGAGCCCTCCGATATCTAATGCTGTTAGTTCCATTTGAATAATTTTTTTTTTTTATCCCCGCCTAGGCGACCGATTAACCCTCGTTATTTATCTCCCTAACGCTGGCGCCCGATTTGCATAATGGGAACGTCCCGAAATTCGGCGAACGAGGGACCGAAATGGCACCGCCGGAGATTATGCGAACTCCCGCGTCTTAGACCTTCGCGAAATTCGAAATAATTATCTGGCCTGATTCCGGGCCGGGATAAAAATTCCCATCGGCCGGAGAGAAGTCGCCACGACGGCGAGTATTTTATTCGAGGCCGTAACGGTGCGTGGGATTCGCAAAGAAGAAAAAAAATCTGGAGATGCTTCTCGGTTCCAGCACCCTGAGAAAAAAAAAAGAAGTTGGTTGATTAAGAAATATACATGCTACAACATAATCCTGCGATCGAATGCGTCCAATGAAATGTCTATGTGAAGAGTAAAAAAATTCCTTTAAATCGACGATATCATTTTTCCTGTCAACGAAATAATTGTCTCTTGCATTTATGCATATATATGTTTCCGTCGACTAATTTTCTTTCTCAGAGCATAAACGCGAATCCGGACGAGACAGCTCGGAAGTGGACCTACGTTGGCTAATCAGCTACCGCGGATTATGTTAATCTTTTTGGCTTTACGATTTCTTTTTTCGGAACCTAGTAAAATGATTAATGGCCCGGCGAGGGGGGAGAGGAACCGTTTCGAAATTCCGACGATTCGGTCGGCGGGCGTTTCGTAAGCCTGAGTGGCCCCCAATAATTCGGTGCGTTTTTGTTTTTCCCGCAGAGCGAAGTCCAAAAATGGCGGCCGCCTCTTGAGGGAAAAGCTGGAGAAGATCGGTTTGAATCTGCCGGCGGGCCGGAGGAAGGCGGCCAACGTGACGCTCTTGACATCCTTGGTAGAAGGTAAGCGGGAGGACTCTACCGTTCTCCTTTTCTTCCTTTTCGGCGACCTTGCGCGGCGAGCAGATCCTAGCCCATGGAGCCCAGCATCCGATGGACCACTCGCCGGATCGACCGGGAAGGGGCGTTGACCCGAGCCAGGACCAGCTCCCGAATCGCCTATCGGCAAAAGACCGAGAATCGAATTCCAACGAAAAAAGTATCGGGAGGAAAAGATGAAGAGGTCCCATCGTCTGCCCGAGTAGAAACGATAACAGGGTCCTGTTATCATTTCTGCGACGGCGATCCCGATAGATGTTAAAAAAATCAACGCTCGTCGGTCTTTCTCAGGGCGGATCTCTGGATAGGGTAATCGGGTGGGTTTTTCCCCAAGTCGATTTTTGCCCGAGATCGGCCGGTTAACGAGGAACGCTCCCGGGTATCTCATGGACCGATATCCGGGCAAAGAGACCCCGGCTTCGTATGCACGAGGGACGCTGCTCTTCTATTAGCCGCGCTTTAATGGCGCGCGGCGAGTTTGTCAGAGTGTTGGTACGGACGCTGATTATAATTTACGATCGGTGGCCTTCTATAAAACATCGGCCGTGGCTTTCTTTCTCGGGCCGGCACGCGGCTCGACGATACGACGCAACGCCGTGGTCCGTTTCTTCGCCGGTGCCCTCCATAACGCGGCTTCTTCTGGGCGAAAATTTGCGAGAGCGTCGTTAACCTCCAAATTTCGGAAAAAAACCCCGAGGATCCCCCGCCGCGCTCCCTCCCCCGGGAGGGTATCGGCTTCCAAGGCGTCCCTCTTTTCCAACTCGAGATCGAGATCTGGTAACTCTATCCCCAGGTCCGACGAGAGTCCCGAAATTGTCAGGAAGATTACGCCGAAGATTGCCGGCCCAGAGCCGCCTTCTCGACTCGCGACGAACGGCGCGAGAAAGTGTGGAGAACATGGATTTAAATCTTCGAAATCACGTGGAAATCAGCTGGAAATCATCGAATACTCTCACAATTTAAAGGCCGAACGTCCCTTGTTACCGGATGGCCCTGTTGTTTATCGTATCAAATCAAAGGCAATTTTATTGACTTCCATGTAAATAGCCCCTCGATCGGCTCTCAGCGAAAAAAATCGTTATCAATGATTTTCGAGGGAAATGCCTCTCGGTGGGTATGGGTAAGACGTCGGGGTAAATTCCCGGCCGAATTCATCCCGTTTCTCGGAGCTTCCTCTCGCCTCTTGGAGGCCCTTGGCACTCCTCGCCCCGAGGAAGCGACTCGACTCGTCGACCGGTTGCGCGTCTTCGGGGGAGGGAAAGGGGAGCCGCGATTCACGGATCTCGCCCACGCGGATCCGCCTTCGCTCTCTCGCCTCCGGCCCGGTTTCCGTTCTCCCGACGAGGAGGAGAGCTCTCCTTTCACGCGCCTCTCGTGTCTCTTGATGTTTCTGGGTCGGCGGGCACGTCCACGCGTCGCTTATTCCCGATCGGGCCGACAGCTTTCGGGCCGCCTCGTTGCGGCCATTTATCGGCGTTTTCTTTACGAAGGGACGCGCGGTCTGCCCCGACCCGAGGCCAACCCCGAAGAGTCCTCGAAAGGAGCCGCGACGTGTTCCCGTCACTCCTGGTGCCCCCGAATTCGGCAAACGTCAGTCTCTCCACTCTGCCGATCCGCTCCAGGTCCGACCAGTTTTTTATCCCGCAGGAACGCGACGCGTCCTCTTTCGGCACGCGGAAGAGGACCCCCCGAATCTCGTGCCACCTCTCGCGAAAGTCCAGGCCAGGATCGCCAACTGACTTTTATCCCAGTATTTGTCCCATGCATTTTTCAAACAATTATAGTACGGGAATTGTATCGTTATTTTGGTAGGAAATGGAACTTGTTATTTTTCCCGGATATTTTTCTTTGTATCCTTCGGTTTGTTCGTAGAGACCCTTATGCTTCGTTGAAATAGGGAATGGTATTAAATCGTTCAGCTTTTAATGCCACTTTGTTTTCGGTATCAGAGTTTATTACCGATGCAGCGGGGAGAGGGCATGCATAAAGCGGCCTCGCGTTGCAACTGTCACGGGTATTTCGCGATTTCTACACCTTGCGGATATATTAGCTCCTGGGCCGGTTACGACTCTCGTCTTGCGGATATATCCATCACCTGTCGCGAAAAGGTTAAGCCTCCGTTGTCAGCACCGGCCAATCAGCGCGTAATTGGAATGCCCGTGCTCCACCTGTACCGAGCTGCGAGTTTTCCGAGCAGTTGGGCGTATTGCGAACTCCGGCTTCGGTAAAGACCACGATTATCTCCCGCAATTCCGAATTCGCTCCTCGGCGAGTCCTCCGATCGCGATAGAGGATTCGAACCCTCGGGTGAGGTCCTTTGGATGCACCTGTACGTGCATTTGCTTCCACTGCAACGCACCTTCTCGCGATCCTTGAAACTCTAGTTAACTCCTCGCTATCCTTTAAACGCGACTTAACTTCTCGCGATCCTTTAAACTCGAGTTAACTTCTCGCGATCCTTTAAACGCGAGTTAACTTCTCGCGATCCTTTAAACGCGAGTTAATTTCTCGCGATCCTTTAAACGCGAGTTAACTTCTCGCTATCCTTCAAACTCCAGTTAACTTTTCCCGAAGAGGAGTTCGCGAGTTGATTTTTTTTTATGTTGACTCGTTTTCTGGCCAGGGCTTTCCTCCGACCAGCGTTGGGAAAAAGTGCTGTTTTCTCGCTGGCCAAAGGAAAGGATTAGCGAGCGGTGTCGTTCCCGAGTCAACGCCCGACATAAAGCAAAATGGGCCGCGATTATCGTAGGAGTGGTGCACGCGACCGCGCAAAACGCCATTCTGGAGGCATTATGCAATATTATCTAAACAACGCGGGACCTCCGCCCACTTATTCACAATTTGAGCATTGTCTTGGCGTGCGCACTCTACGGCACCACAGCACCGGGTTCCTTCGAGCTGCGGCCGCACGACCCGAGACGATCTTCCTAGGAGCTTTCGAAATTACGCATTAGAGACTCCGCCGTAATTTCGCGAAAATTGTTCCCTCCACGTAGAGTACTCTCGATGTCACTCAAAGTGCACGCACCTCTCGGGTTTCCAATTCGGACGCAAAAACCCGACAATGGTCGACCGTCCGACGAATTTCGGAGTTACGGCCCGAGCGCGGAATTTTTATGCGAACTCTTCTCCGCGTTACGGAAGTATGCAAATCGACCGGTTATCTTCATTTTTATCCTCCTTTTTGCTTATTCCCGATTAATGCCGCTTTATACGACAAAGATATCGGTGGGCTTTGACGACGGTTAGGAGTAAAAGATTTGACGCGCAGACGTTCGGCCGCGATCGTATCTCCGCAGGTTCTTTTTTATTCTTAATGCGTTCTCCTCCTCCGGGCAATAAAATAGCGGGCGAGCGTTAGTCACGCGATACCCTGCTTTCGATGTTTCAGGGGTACATAAACGTCTTCTTTCCGTGGGCCCCCCTCGGCGTTCCTGTATACACTTGTCGTTATCGTTCACTTTGTACGTATCGCCTTTGCGCGAGTCGCGGGAATGGTGAGCGCCCTTAAGGTGGCATGAAAGGGTCATTCTATAAAAATAACTCTTATCCAAACTAGGTGCACCTAATCGCTTGAAACTTCAGCACGTGATTCCGAAGCTCCTAAGAAATATTGCTCCTAAGAAATAAGCGTCGTTTTGAGAAAAGTTTGGTTAAATATTTTGACGTTTCATGCGTATAGAATGATCATTTGGTATCGCCTTAATGCGAGTCCGTTCCGTAAATTTAAATGATCGCGAGGCCATTTTTCACGGAAGGAATAAATCCGGGTGAAATCCCAGGGGCTGGGGATATCCGTGAGAAAGCGAAAGTCTCGAGTGCGCGAAAAACATATCGGTGCACCTACACCTGTAGAGACTGTTTTTTTAAATCGGAAACGACCGAGAACCGATGGCGAGCTATCCACGCGGAAACGCGCGCGGTTAAACGGATCGGGACTCGTTACGATTGCCGGCAACGGAGGAAATGGGAGGAAAAGGAAGAAAAGGAAGAAACGGAAGGAATCGGAGAAACGGGATACCTCCGCCAAATAAACGCTGAAACTCCGGGCCAGATCGACTCGGAAAGCTGGCCAAACGGTAACGGTTAGAGTTGCGGCAAGAAATTCCGCAATGCGCCGCCCGGGCCCGATCGCGGTGAAAAAGGGAGCCCGGCAAAAAAAGCGTAAGAACTGCAATACGTCCGCGCGAATATAACTCCGGGAATAATTGTACAGTATGTATTGTCGGACGAGGGAAAATGGCATTATTGCGCGCGAGTCATAACACGGTAGCAATGGTTTTATTGCCAGGTGCGCGGACCCGGCGTTCTTTTATCCCGAGTATCCGGGAGGGCATTTTGCCGGGACGGAAAACGGAAGAAAGTGCGCGGGATGGCCCGTTAGGTTTTATTTAGCGGGTATGCAAATAATCCTTATCGTAAACCTAGGAATTGAGGACGCATCCCGGCCGGCGATAGGAACATCATTCCCGGCCGCACGGCCGGCTGTAAAGAGATACTTTTCGAATATTGCAAGTGCGCCGGGCATAAAGAGAACTGTAAATCAACCGGACGTTTAAGTTGTTAAAGGTATAGTGAATTCGAATTTTTGCAAACCTACGCCGCGTCTCCGCCGTTCGGAATGGCGTCGGGACGGGCGTGAAGCGACACCGAGAGGATCGTTCGCCGTTTACGTTCCTTTTCCATTTTATTCCTCTTCGTTACTTTTTTTCTTTTTTTCCAATCGAAGGGGGCAACGCGGTTCCCTAAATCGTATAATTTCCATCCAGCTGGAAATTCCATTTGGAGACTTTTACGACCATTTTTCGTATTCTTCCAGGAGAGGCTATCCATCTCGCCAGAGACTTCGGATTCGTCTGCGAAACGGAGTTTCCGGCCAAGCAGGTCGCCGAGTACCTGACCCGGCAGCACTGCGAACCGCAGGATTCCTACAGGAGGAAAGAACTTCTTCATGCTACCAAGTAATTAGAGTCTTATCCTATAAGAATGGTACGTTGTGTACCGAGGAGGCAAGGTGCGTCTTTTAACGCGCGACCTCGCGATACGAGCAAGACTCGCACCCGCGGAAAATGAAATTACCGTCGTAATAAGAAATTGCGCTTGTCTCAACAAACGTGAACACTTAAAAATAATCCATGAAGATTTTTGTCCAGAAATTTTTTTTCTACATATTCCGTCGCGGAAAAGCCAACACTAGGTACCGAAGACAGTCGCAAAAATACGCGTAAACCATGCCGGCGTTACGTAAACTATTAAACCGTACGCGGTACTTGTCAATCGCGTAGAGCACTTTCGAAGGTCTCGTCATATTAACTTTCTTTTTCCAGACAAATCACCAAAGAGCTGATGGATCTTCTGAACCAGGACAGGTCACCACTGTGCAATACGCGGCCGCAATACATCTTAGACCCAAATATCCAGAAACATCTGACGCACTTCTCCCTGATCTCGCACGGGTTCGGGAGTCCTGCCCTCGTCGGCGCCCTAACGGCAGTACAGGTAATCGGCTCGTAATCGGTATATTTAATTAGTATCTCGTGGGAACTGATAAAATAATACCCTCCACCGTGATACCGGTTCCCGTCGACCCTAAATCCGCCGGTCCTTTGCAGAAGTTCCTAAGCGAGTCGCTGAACCACCTGGAGAAGATGTACCCGGGCAACGGCAGCGGCGTGACCAGCAGTCAGCAATCCAACCTGGACGCGAACAAGAACAAGGACGGTTCCTTGATGAGCGACATGAAGAAGTGACGTCCGGAAGACCGGCCCACCTCCAACGTGGTCACTTCGATCAGACACTCCTGGCCCTGCGGCAACTGAGCTTCCGACGTCCCGAGGAAGCTGACCGTTTCTGGAAAGGGATACGCATACGCGCCCAGGAGTGCATCGAACATGCGAGGTTGGCTGGTCGTAACAAGGAGAGGACTAAACGTACCCGAAACTGGAGCCTGATCCAGGCTCCGGTCCCGAACCACCGCTGAAGACGGTTGCCCTCTACTCGCGAGGATTGGAGCAAGACGTCGGATAGGAACCCCATCGCGCGAGGACCTCCAAGAGGACTCCAACGAAAAATCCCTCGGCTCGGAAGAGTTTGAAGGGCACGTTTGTATGTAAATTCGCGTCCAGATCTGGCGACCTCCAGGGTCGCCGCGTGGAGCTGGCGACACCGGTGGCGGCTGGTCTAACTATTCGGAAATGAACGAAGAGGTTCCGCGATGGAAACTCGAAAACCACCCGATGGCCATCGTATCTGGGTTCTAATGTACAGTTTAGAATTTGCAGCGCCGTGTTGGGAATTTCGCACACGGTTTCCGAATTTTAAACGCGGGAGGAATCACCCGTGGAACCGAACTGTTGATACACGGTGACTAAAGTGCCAACAAGGTGGCGATCTCCGGCTAGGAGGTCGGAGACGAGAAACGCAAAGAGCCAAACTCTGCCCGCGATCCGAGATGCCTCGTTTCCATGTCTGCGGAATTTCTTGGAGACAGTTTATTCCGTGTAGATTCCGCGGATACGAAAACGAGGCGTAACTTCGTGGAACGAAGTCGATCGCGCGAACTGCCCGCGGAGAGGTTTTCCATAGGCGATCACGTTTTGCCGGATCGTTTTAACGACTCGCTAGTAAAGGACCATTAGAGAGGAACCCTTGGTTCCCACCGACGAAGGATTTTTTTTTCCCTTTGGAAAATCATGCCGCGGGGGTCTGGCGTTTCCTTGCGCGCGACGTCGGGACCAGGGTCGTGGTGCGTTCGCTTTTTGACGTTCCACCGAGCTTATTTTTACACGAGACGATTCCGGAAGAAGTAGAGACACGATTATAACTCGCTCGACCGTTTCGACATAGATTGGCCTGCCCGTAGGACGAGAGGCATGCGCACCGCTCTACTTAAAAGAGCAGACCGATCCGGACTGATGAAATCGAAATTTATTCCACTATCTCTCCGGCAGAGTTTTACACTCTCCGCGTGTCGATATCCTTCCAAAGCGGTGGCAAGTTATATGAAATTGAGACATATCCCGGATAAGTCGACGCTTTTAAGCAGGGCCTAGACCGGATGACCCGACGCGTTCGCGCGACGAGGAAATTCTGTAGCACTATAAAAACCGAAAAACGTGCACCCGCTGTTTTGTGCCTTCCTTTAAATTCAAGGGGCAATTGGCATATTCCGGATGACGCTACTTCGGTACCGCTGATAAAACCGTATCAAAGCCAATTAAAGTGAAATTGTCTAGGACTCTTCGTTGCAGATATCGGTGCACCTTCAAACGAGGCACAAAACAGCGAATGGACGAATTCCATGCTTAAGGGGATGTGAAAGTGGCATCCGAGATGTCAGTAGTTTATTCAACTTTTCTCCGAACAGGGTGTACCAAATCGTTTCAAACTTTGCGCCATGAATATAAAGGCTTCGAAGAAGGTCCCTACACTCATGAAATTTCATTATTATACAAAAATGTCTAAATGACTATAAACAAATGGTAAAAAATGGAAATTTCACGAAGGTCAGGACCTTCCTTAAAGTCTACATATTTACATTGTAAAGTTTGAAACGATTCGGTGAAAAGTGTCATAAACGAGACCTCTTTGAGGGCACTTTCCGTCACCTTAAAGATAGTTCCCAGGGGACGCGACAAGATGCGAGGGGTAGTCGCATGCGGAAGCCGTCCGAGGCTAAATTATTTATAAACATTACCTGTACCCTAATGCTCAGTTAACCCAGACTCGGAGGATATAATCAAATAGGAAAGGCTGGTGGTGGGGTTTTGTTCGTAACTCTAAATAGGCGTAATCTCGTCGGCGACGAGCCTCGCGGATTCGCGAAAGAGTCTCTTCCGATCGTCGTGCCAATGCGAAACTTGCCACTTCATTCTCAACACACGTGCCAATTATCACCGCGAGACCCGCGGCGAGTCCCTCTAAGTAAACCCGGGAGAGTAAACGCGAAGCTGAGGCCGTTTCTACTTCCGGCCGCGTTGGGACGCGCTTCGGCCGAAGCCTCGCTCTCGAGGCGCGTCGAGGAAAATCATACGAAGTACAACGTCAGGTCAACCTGAGACATATCTAACTTTGTAACTAAACTCTAGACACCTAGGCGTATTATAAGTCGATACTTGAGAGCATCTGATGTTCCGAGGGGGGGCGCGTGTACAGAGCATTCGAATCTTTCTTGTGATATAATCATACAGTTGTTAAGGTATCGAGTAACGATAAGTGCTACATTCCATGTTTCGAAATAGGGACGGTATTAGAGGAGAGCCCGCGACTCGGGATGAGATTTATCGTCGAGATTTCTCCCACGGCTAGCGGGGAATTCTTCCCCGAACGCTTAGGGTGAGATTCCAATTCGGATCGTCGATCGACTCGGAGGTCCCGCGGTTAACCGGTCGTTTGCCGCGAAAAAGGATATCAGGGATCAGGATCGAGGACTCTGGATTCCGTAGAGGGGCGGCGGCTCTTAGGGGTCGCCGAAATGCAACTTCCTCCCCCAGCGGGAAGACATGGAGGGCCGAGTTAACATTAGTTAGGTCGAACTTTTAACCTTATTTTCACTTCCCAACTACTTAGAGGACTCTCTTAGACTAAGGATCCGTAAATTAAACTACTTATTTATAATCGCTAGAGAAGATGCGTAGAGAAAGGTCTTTTTCTACCGGAATTTCTGTGCCAACCGCGGGGAGAGAGTGTGCCGTAGAGACACGATTTCGTTCCGAGCTGATCATGCGTCGCTCTAATCTTGTAAGATACTCGGATATACCTTTATTGAATATATCTTGAATTTTAGCGGTATTATTATATTCTAACATTAATACGGTTAATTTTTGTATATTGGTGTGTGATAAATAAATAAGAATATTGTTTCTAAGCAACCTAGATGCCGATCCACGGTATTTGACTCGAGGCTTCGCGGCGTCGGCCCGTTTCTTCCCACGAGGTTGGGTTCTATTCAATTAATTCAGTGCTCCGTTAATCATTTTAAACGATAAGTAAGGCTTCGCTATATCGGCAACCACTCGTATGATTTTCGCAGGGTAGTGGACGCGACTTTGGAAGTGTTCCGAGCACCTTAGACATTCGCCATAGGCGAATTTCTGCGTCCCATTGATTGCCGATGTCCACTTAAACGTTAAGTCAGCTGTCGAGTATTTATTCGCTCCGTAGACTTCAGGCCCGCGAAAGAGTGACGACGTGGACGGCCGGAAGTTGGATCGCAAGCTTCTCTTATCTCCTAAGGAAACTCAACTAAGTAATGGGTTCTTATTAGACATGCGATTTGCAAAACGATGACCGCCTTCTTCAGGCCCATGGTGCAAACGTACTTTTATTCCTGGACTTTCGGCACTCGTCCGGCCCGTAAATTCAATTGTTTGCGTTTACATACGAACGAAAATGTTAATTGTTGAATTTAATAAAATGATTCTACGAACAACGGACACCCAGTGTTTTGCAATGCCCGTGGCGGTGACGCCAAAGAGCATTCCTCGTTAGTAACGATTCCCACGATAAACACGCATGCAAATAGTTCGCCAACTACGTTAACGATTAGAAATTAACGACGGGCCTTAAACTACCAACCCCACCTTAAGACAGTCACAGTGGACGTTCTCGCAAGGACGAAGACTAGAAAACGTAAAAGCGGGTATACAAATCAGTTTGTTTAATAAAATTCCAGAATCAATAGGAGCGTACTTAGAAAGGGATCGACACATGGATGAAAAATAGCCCAATGTCAGAGCCTGGGAAAAATTGCGGCAACCAATTTTTCTTTATTTGCCATCTGGGGCAACTCTTCACGCCTGTAAATCGTGCAATTTATCCAGGCGTCTTAACATCGACTCGGCAACGCGACATCGACATCTCTGAAAAGCAAACCCTGGATACGTGTCCTCCCCACGAGCGCGTCACCTTAGAATAAGAAGTATTTCTACCCAGTCTATTTAGGGACAGGCAACTTGGGCTCTAATGGATGGCTGTATAAACAGAATCCGTTAATTTCGGCGGGGAAGATTAGTCATCGGCGTAGAAAGGAAAATGCATGGAACCATCAACATGCAAGCCAGCTCGTGACGAGGCGTCGTCGCGTTTGCGTCGGTCCATCTTTCCTGGCGAGGACGTATAGACCTTGGCAGTCGCCTCCTCTTCGAGATATCTTTGATAAATCGGCGTCCTCGAGAACTCGCCATCTCGCCGCATACCTTGCCTCCGAACTTGCTTCAGCATAAGGTGTGCCTTCACCTTGGTACCATACTCACGTCAAGGCACTTCTCGCGGTCCACCGGTTAGAGTGGCCAAAATGCAAACGATCCACGACAGCGCGTTCCCACGCGATCTGCAGGAATCTCCTACACACCTGATAAGAATATAAGGCAAAGGTATATTAGACAATAGTTGGCTACCATGGGTCCGGATAGCCGAAAGTGGCGAGGGATGCGAAAGGGCTCGAAATCTAAAGGCCAATCGGCACCGCCGACACGGAACGAAATCGTGTTCAAGCTGTACGAATTTGCGTTAAGGATTTAACATCGTCCGTGTTACCTTGGCTCGCCGTAAGTAACGTTTACTGCACCATTAAATTCGGTTTTCGCGACTGGTATGTAATCATTGGCATCCCGAATTTAGGGCTAACGAGTGTTAGTCGGCTTGCTTCATCCGCCTCGAGCATGAAGAAAGGTGTCTCTACATTTATATATTTTTTTTTTTTATTTCACTTTAGGAGAGTTACATACGCTGGGTACTCATTTCTCATCGGTTTTTAATATGTTAAAAGTATTTAGAAATTGCTACGGGTACGTCGCACGGTACTCCGCGCGGGTGCTTACACGTTAACATTATAATAGTTGGTAGAGGTTTTGTTCCAGTAGAGTGTAACTGTTACAGGTCGACAATTAACCACACATAATATGTTTAACCCACTTTAGGTATCTACGCTACATGAAGACATTAAATTCATTCTCTCTAATTTCAAACGGTGAATAGAAACTTTCATGTGTTGTGTTGTTGTTGTTTTTTTTTTCCTTTTTAAATCTACCATTCTCCATTAGCATTAACGATATCATTATCTTGCATACGCGTATGCAGGTTACAATTACGTATCCGTTTACCATATTTAATAAATGAAGTAACCTCCTCTTGTACATGGAGCGTTTTAAATAGTAAACATTTACCTCAAACAAATGCTGCGAGTTTTATAAAAGTATTAACCTTTCGCCTCGGTTAAAAGTCAAGATTTGTTATTATACTTTAGATACGATAGACCGCGTAGTGTACCGTTGCTTGATCGAGGGCAAAAATCCGTGGGGCGGAGATAAAAGAAATAAAAAACCAACGTTCTCCAAGACGACACCAAAGGAAACAAATTCATGGTACCGATCTTCGTTCAACGCTCGTTACCAATCATTGTCTCGTTGCAAATGAATTTCCGTCCAGACCGTCTGTCGGCAGGTAAGCCAAAGAAAAATAAAAATGCTGCAGTGCTCGACAACTTAACGATAATTTGTTCATTGTTCGCGGGCAACGGCACAACCACGACCCTATCGTACGGTCTTACTCGTAGAAATTTTGACGAGTAAACGATATTAAAGGCTTATCTAAGGGTTTACTTAGTTTACGTCACTGATCCTCTTGATCCTTTATTCCTCGTGATTACAGTTAGCTCCCACTGCGGCATCTCATATCAGGAAAGGGCTAAGGAACGGTATTCTACGTTTAACAGAGTCTGCAAGTTACATGAATTGTTCGGCTAGAAAAAGGGGATCACGGATTTCGGACAGGAGGTCAGGTTTAGGTCTCGTTAGATTGGTCCTTCACCTCTTGGACAGGGAGGAGAGGTTATCAAAAATTCACGCGCCCTCTACTCTGGTCCGGAAATAATAGTTAAAAGGGGCTGCGGATAAATCGCGTCGTTAATAAAAAAAAATAATGACACAACGTGGAATACAAAGCCGACGAGTCAGCTGCGAAGTGCAATCGACACGTGTCGCTACGAGAAGCGGAACCTGCGGTGGAGGTGGGACAGAATGAGTATGGCGATAAACTCTCTAGAGAAGCTGATTATAAAGGAAGGGGTTGACCTTCACGGGGTGTATTAATGAGGAGAAAAAAAAAAAATAGAGGCTGTGAATCCTGTTCGGTGGTGATTACTTGGAAGGGCGGGAATACGGAGCGGCACGGTAGCGCGAGCTCGAGCCCGATGTTGTAGTCGTCTTGTACGATTTCCATCCGCGGCTCGATGAATCCTCTGCGAATTTCATTGATTAATGCATTCTCATTATTCCAGGTTAGACAGGTGTAAAATCGGAGAGACCTCGATAATCTACATGCTACGAGGGCGCGGCTTTACCAGATTCGGATTTCCATTTAAATCGAATTAATGGCGACACCGCGACGAAGGTGCGCGCGTTAAGAATAGCATTCGCGGTTCTTGTTAACAGTCAGCCGCGGAAACGTCCATTTAACTTAAAGAGTGTACGTTTCCTGGCACCCCGAGAATAGATTTTTAACTGTTCAGGCTGATATTACCGTCGCCAGGGCGACATTTACGCGATTTATCCGTAGTTGCCGCGATTAGCCAGTTATGTACCGTTCACGTCGGTCAAGGTACTGGTTTAACAGGTCCGGCACTCAAATTCGATTTTCAATCGGCTTTATAGTACCAAGTCTCTCCGGGGATTATACTCGAAAGGCGTAGTCGCCTGCGTCGTCGATTATTCCCGACATTTTGTCCAGGCCCGCAAAGGGGCGGCTTTCCGCGGTTTACTTTGCCCTCAAAACGAGGATTACTCTCCGCAACCCTACGTAAAGAAGACCCGTATCCTCGAGGAAAACGCTAAAATTAATTTACCTGGATAGTCCGACGACTCGTAATAGTCGTGGGAAGAGTGCGGCCCACCCTCGTCGTCGTACTCGTAGGTCGTGTATCTGGAGGAAGGAGGATACATGTCGTCCCTGAAAGATACGACCGGGATGAGTAGTTTCAACGGCTCTTGATCGACATCGACGGACGTGCATTCTATTATATAATTTAATAAACATCACGGTAGCCACTCACGCCGAGGACGAAGTATAGTGACGATCTCCGTAGCGGCTGCTACTTGTTGAAGTACCATGGTAGTCGTAGTCATGATGGGATCCCACTCTACCGGTCGGAGGTGGAGTCGGAGCGTCGTACCTAAAAAGGTTTATTCGCTAATTTACTTCACCGATAACGTCCCCATTAATTCGGGCTAATTGCCCAGGTCCACCCAAGTCGGCAATGGTGGGGTAAGGGCCGGAAGGGGTCGACCTACTCACCCATAGTTCTGGTCCATGGCGGCCCTGGCGCGATCCAGAATCGAGAATACCTTGGTCTTCGGTGGAACGGGACGAGCGATCGGTCCTCGGTTCGCAGGGGGTGGAAGGATGGGCGGTGCTGGAAGAAATTGAAATTCCACAGAATTTTATGGCCGACCAGGAGATTCCAAATGGCGAGAGAGAGAGAGGAGCCTCTCGATTCCCGCTACGCGTATCGTCACGCGCATTCTATCACGGATGGACCAGGTCGCGCACTCCTCGGAAGCCGATCGGGACCCGAATTCCATCCCGTAAAAAATTATCGCGAAATGACAGCAAGGTTTTACGTCAGGGTGGAGGTGAAGAGGAGCTTTAGCTCACCTCTGGAAGCCCTGGGTGGCGGGACCGTTGGTCTGGCATTGGGTCTCAAGATCCCTCCTCTTCCTGGTCTCCTGTCGTCCAGGCCGGGATCGTCGGTCATGGTGAGCTCCATCTCTCGCATCTGTTCCTGACGAATGTTGTCGTTGCTGTCCGGGATCAGGTATTTCCTCACCTCGGCCAGGGCGAACGCAATGCGTGCGTGGGCTTCCGCAGGAGGAGCCAAAGCGGCGATCTCCACGTGTAGATCATCGGAGAGATGAGCGTATTTCGGGTCCAGGGACTGGCGGTACTCCTCCTCCTGAAAAATGCCCAAGAATTGATTTAATAATCTGCCGATTTGACTATCGCTTAAAAAAAAAAAAAATTTATCCACTCCCGCCGTGGCGATATTATCGAGTATACTGAGAAAAATTTTATTGAACCGAAGAAGTATTTCTTTGAATAATCCCAACGAAATATTTCCTAATTCCGAATAAATGTTGCATCCAATTTACTAGAGTTTATTCGAGTGAAATAAATTATTCTGTGAATTAATAAAATATTTTTTTCGTTCGAAGAAATTTTTTTCTCAGAGTACGTACTCCCCGAAAGACCGTCTCCTATTTCCCCATGATTTTTTCCGATCCCCCCGTCGCCGAAACTTTTTCAATCCCGTTCTGCAAATGCCTCCGCAACTTCGATCTTACCCACTGGAAAAGCAAGAAGCAATTGTTGTCTCCAGAGGCACGGGGAAACTTGCGAGTCCGGGAAAGTCTCCCTCGGGAATGCATAATTCTGCATCGACTTGCATCCGAGGCCGAAGGAATTATTTTCCGGTTCTGGCAATTGTTCTTTACCGTCTGGGAAATTATGCATTCCGAGGTTCCACTATCTCCACAAGTTTCGACTTCATGCCAACGGGAACCGTCTTTTCGTACATCGAGAAAAAAGTGTCATTGAACCATTGAAATATTTCTTTGAACAGTCCCGATGAATATATTTTGTTAATTCAAAGAATAATTATTCTTTGATTTAGCTAAATAGTACACTGGTACTGTCCAAAGAAATATTTCTTCGGTTCAATGAATTCTTATTCCCAGGGTGCGATGCATCATTTTTGTCGGAGCATTATCGTCATCCCGATTCGAGCGATGATGCACTCCAGTTTGTCCGATAAACTATCATGTCGGAAGCTGCACGCGACATGTCATTGATAGCCGCAAGAGTACCACCACCTGCACGGTATGCCTTTATGATGCTCGATGTAGCTTATGGCATGTAATAACACATTGTAGAGCGATGCACCCCATGAATAATGGTCGTCGTTAGTGTCCACGATAGGAATCGGTTCCTGAGCTGAATACAGCGAATACTTGCACGACAAAATTAGACGTGCAAATCGAGCCGAGTGGACCTCACAACAATCACGGCCATAATAATTGCAATGATTAATTATCCCGTGCAGATGACACTCGACTGGACGACCCTTAATGCATTCGGGTAATGCGATCAAAAACGCGGCGTCCATTAAAAAAACAATTGACTCGCACTTTATCGCCGGACCGGATCGATAACGCGCGATAAATTCAACCGGATGTTCCAAAGCGAATTTCCAAGTCCGCTCCGACAAATCGTTTTACATTTAATTATCCAATTTTCCTCGCAAAGAGTAGTAAAAATGGGAATAAAATTAAACCAACCCGAGGCGGCCCTGTTGCGAATTAATCCCCGGCCTTTCCCAACTTTCCCGGACAGGCCGGGCGTTTCGGAATTATTTCCCCCGTGATCCGGAGAATAAAAAGCTCTCATCCGCGGGACAATTGGCAAAAAATCTAATCACGATCCGTCGGGCGTCCACCAACTTGCCGCGGCTCGGCGTTAAAGTTGGCCCGCAAAACGCGGCCAACTTTAGCCGCATCCGCGGAAACCCACACGTCCGGGACATAAACTCCAGGACGTTATTTATTCCGAGGAAAAGCTCGCGTTTGGCACCCGGCTCCTTTTTGCGAGACCCTCGCGCTGTCGGTTGTCCTTTAGGATTTCCAATTTGCAAGAAAAGGGGCGGCGCGCTCCTCGTTAGTCACGCGATTCGCCCTCCCGAGGGAGCGGAGGATAAGAAGAAAAATAGGGAATAAGGCGCGCAAAAGTCGATGAGAAAAAAATTTTCCGGCAATAACTCGAGCGAGCCAAGTGACGCGGTGCCATCCTCGTCGTGGCTGGTAATCCCCTTTGTCCCGGTGCGTTTATTCCTTCCATTTTGTTTCCCCCTTCGCTTCCATAGACCGAGCTCAACGAGTGTTCCTTGTAAAGACGAAACCTTGTCGCGTGTTTACGCGGGAGGGACTTTCGATAGAGCAATTCCTTCCTAGTATAAAAGTGCTCGGAAATTACGTCGTTGCATCTTTATACGAAGATTTTCATCGACGCGATCGGTTTGGAGATAGATTTGAAATTATCGTCCTTTTTTTCCATGTCCCTCTTCGGTGGGATTTTTTTCCTCCAAGTCCAGGCTCGCATTTCTCAAGACGGTCGTCGCATTTTTTGCCCCGCGAGCTCGCAAGCTTTGAGACCCTCGAGAGCCTCCCGGGTGCTCTTTGTCCTCCGAGTGTTGCAAAGCGAGCTCCTTGCTCCTGGCCGGTCCTTATTTCCTTTTAAGAGCCCCGATATCCCGAGAACCTCCCGAGGACTATTCTGCATTTCAGATTCGAGGCGGCCCCTCTTCAGCACGGGGACCACTTTATCGCGCCAGGATAAAGGGCGGGATTTCTTCCTTTATTTTTTTTTTACGAATTTTTAACCATCAAGGATCCCTCCGCCATTTACGGGGAATTTAATCCCTTCATGGCGGGGCTCGAAATTTCCCGTTCAATCGAGGGTAACCACGCGACACGCCACAAAACCCGGTTTTATCGCGCCTTCGACGAATGCCATTAACTAATTCTAATAACTTCCCTCGTGATCGCGAGACATCGTTCGTTGCGCGGTTACAAATTACCTCCCTCTCCCCCCGGCGCGGTCCTGTAACTAATGGCAAATCGATTTGCCGCTAATTAATTCCATGGAGCCGCCGTCGAAACTGCGTCGTTAAACCGTTCATCGTATCAACGGGTTAGAGCGACAATGTAAACTCGTTCGGGCTCGCGAGACACGTATCGTCTCCTCTTGGGGGTTGAATTTCGCGGTCTCTTCGGGAAAAGGAAGATGGCGTCGCGTCCGGGTCCAAGACGCGGCGGAAGGAAAGTACGTCCGGTAAGAACGGCGCGATTCAACGGCTCCATCGATTCACGGGCTGACTCCGGGCTGAATATCGAGGACGTCTTGCAGGCGGGCTCCCTTTGTCGGCCCTCGGTTAAAACCCTCGGTACATCGAGTATCGATCGGCGGCCCGCCCGATCCGGCCGGAAGTGGGCAAAGTACGTGGCCTTTGTGCACCACTTGGCCCTGGCGTGGATCTTTCTTTCCGAGCGGGTCGCCCCTTTTATGCGCCGGCTTCAATGGCCGACTATCGGGATCGCAGGCTGCCATGTAAATCCGATAAAGCTAAACGGAATAACTATACAGGTTATTACGTGGGCCGGGCTCGAGTCGGCTCCCTTTTATGCGATTTCAAGCTGACCAGTGAACGGGCAAAAGAGAGCTCCCTAGATTTGCTCCCGAGGATGTAGATGCGCGTTAAGCCGGATTCACATCCGAGGACGAACGCGTACCACGTGTACTCGGCCTTTATTAATTGTCTCAAATATGGCCGATCGTTTCGACGCGCGTCCTGAGACTCGACTCGGGGAATAAAATTAATCCCAAAATTACGAGGGCCGAGGGCTTACACCCCGAGACATCCCCGTTAAATTGCCAGTCCCGATCTCGTTAGACGAATTATGGTTGTCGTTAAGATACCGATGTAATCCTTCGCCGGCTCCGATTGGAACTCGGCATTGCCGTCGACCGGGCGTTTCTCTCGCCGATAGATCGCCGAGGATTATCCCTATCGGTTCAATTCCTCGGCAAGCATAATTCCCTCCCCGTCTCCTCCACCTTTCCGCGGGCCCGGGTCGTCGCCTCGAAGACGCCCTCCCCTCGTATAAAAAAGAACTAACTCGTATTCCCAGCTTCCGAGCCCCTCGCCGAGGAGATTCAACCTTGAGAATCGTTTAAGAAAAATTCCGGACCGATCGGGAAGTTCCTACCCGACCCATCCGGAGTAGAAGTTCCTCGCGATTCGAGGATTGGCCATTATTCGGAAATCGTAACTAGATTTACCCCGAGCCGGGTGATATTCTTTCCTAAGTCGCGTCGTCCAATCGTCGCATCGAGATTCACGGCGAATCCGTTAATTCCCGCGAAAGTTCTGGCGCGCAGACGCGCCATTTAACCGGCAAGTTAGGTAAACTCCGTTTAAGAGGGGAAGCCCCGGTACCGACTTAAGATATAAGCATTTCCTATCACCCATTAAAACCGCGCCGTGGGTCAAATAAAATGAACGGATTTTTTTAAGAGCTGTCAAGCAGGTGAAAGGGTGTCCGAGACCAAGAGAACACTCTTGAAACGTGTGTCTTTCGAGATATTAATTAATTAGACATTTTTTTTTTAAATTTTATAGGGTCCTCAACCTTAATCGAAAGTACATTCGGCAAAGGCAGGCCTCAACGGGGTAACCGAATTACGGGGGCGCGAAGTCAAGCGGTTCCCGAAGGAGGGCGATATAATTCCTCCCGGATTTCCTTCCCCCCCGAGCGGTCGATTTCGTCGGGCGCCGTCAAAAGAAGGAAAGGAAGGCGATTTTTCCGTCACTTGTTGCGCGACGCAGCGGCCAGGGGGATTTAGCATGCAGCCGAAAGTATAGCGCGTCCACTTAGGGGCACCCTGGGAGTTTCCGGGAGGAGCCCGGTAATCTCCGTCATTACTTGGGGAACTCTCCCGACCGCTGTAAACAGTTTGTCCTTGTTGATGTTGAAAGTGCAGGGATAACGGCGCGGCGGTTCCGCGCGAGCCTTTCCTGGCCCGATGCTTCACGTTCGGCAAACGCGCACCTGTGCCGGGACCTTAATCGAGTTACCACCGAGTAATATAGTTGGGCTTACGGAGTCGGCGCTGCCATGCAAATTAAATCTCGAAAACTGGCTACCTGCGGCGCGCCGACCAATCGCGAGTAATCCACCCGCCCGGAATTAAGGCCGCGGTTTGCGACGGGGGTTCCGGTCCGCCTTCTCCGCGGGATTATCGCCGACGTCGGCAAAAGTACCTCCCATCGCGAACACCTCGAGTTCCCCCGGCCGGAACTTCCGCTATAAACACGGAGTCCGTAAAATACGACATCTACGT